TCAATCCTTCATGAGCATGGTTGGGTTCGCACCGACCGAGTCATCTGGAGGGGCGTGTGCAACCTCTGCAAACTTCGACCCGAGCCCGAGCAGAGTCAATATCTCCCAGGTCCTCGACCAAATCATAACACCGGCCCCGATCTCCTTGAACTGCGCGGCTGCTTCATACAGGTTGACTTGTATGTCCGGGTACCTGGAGAGCGCCACGGCGAGACACAACCCTCCTATCCCTCCGCCGCTAGGATCGAGCTGTAAGCACAGGTAGTTGAACCGATCCACAGCAGCGTACCAAACAGCGACATGAAACTTTGGTTCGGGCATGTTGTTCCTGAGCGTCGTGACTGCTATCTGGGATTCGGCGAGAATGGAGGTTTGTCGGGCCATTTGAACCCTTGCGCGACTGCTTCTAAGCATGACATGGGCGCGATAAGTAGCATTGGCCGGCAGATGTTTGGCGCCCATGACTGGGGATAGCAGGCCCGATCCCGATCTGAGCGTGATCATTCGATTCGATCAAGATCTCACTTGACGATTTTCTGCAGACCATACGCTTGCCACCTGCAGTCATGGCGGATAATCTCGAAGCCTCTCTGGAAAAGATCCGCCCTCACACTTCATCATCTCTCCCTCATCAAAAGACACCCGCGACCCTTCTTCACGCGCTCGAAGCGACCTTCCGCGAGCAGAATACGCAGCTCTCGCCAACTGCTTATTTCGCTGCCTTATTGACTACTCTAGAGGGTGTATTGCAAGCTGCGCCTACATCGGGGCCACCACTTGGCGACGGAGACGTTCTTCCTGCGGTCCTCTACCTACTCGCGCTTGTCACGCCGCATGTCCCCCACCCCGTCATACAAACCCATCTAGACACGACCATATCTCTGACATCGCCTCTCTTCCCTACACTAGTATCTCATGCACCGCCATTGCGGTCCCAGCTGGGCCTGTATGGCGCCATCTTCCACTCCCTTGAGCGTCCGCAGCTAGACTCTCAAGGCCTCCGCCAGTCGTTCAGCTTCATTCTGCAGCTCGCCCTGGACCCGCGTCCAAAAGTGCGGAAGAGGGCCGCTGAGATCGTAAAGGATGTTCTCGCCAACCCACCGACACCGCTGCTCCAGCATCCGTACGCTCAGCGAGTCGCCGACTGGACCATCTCAGCACTGGGCGAAGTCCACTCCGGTGCGCCTGTGAAGTTTAAAGGCAAGAAGGCGGAGACAGAAAACCCGGACATAGCGATCCATCTACTCGCGTGCTTGCGTCCAGTTTTGCCGACACTCCCTGCTGCTGTGAGTGTGTTTCATTGCTTCAGTATATGCTGACTCTAATCGCGTCGGTAGTCACTACCCTCGATCACCTCATCGCTCCTTCTACTCCCTCGTCTCGGAAATCCATACCTCGCCCAATCTGCGTTCTCTATCCTCTCCGATCTGCTCACCTCCGTTGCGCAAGACCCGTCCAGCGGTATCCAAGACCAACTCTCAGACATCCTTGATGCTGTCCTGTCATCTTCTGCAGCGAAGACGGATACAACCCTTGCACCTGTATGGTCAGCCGTCCTAGGCAATTGTTTGCTAGCGATTCATGCGACAGACCCAGAGAAGAGTGCGAAGGAGGTGAGCAAGGCATGGAAGGCGGCATGGCCGTTGCTCGAATCCCAAGATGCGGAGACCCGCAAGGCGGGCGCACAGGCACTCAAACAGGTGGGGCGGTGCTTCACACCCTCTCTCATCAACGCCGCGCTCTCGGAGAACGCCAGCCAGGAGAAAAAGTCAGTTATCGGGAAGATCGTCTCGCAGACGACGAAAGCATTTGATGCCCTCAGTTTCGCTCGCTCGATACCGGAGCTTCTCTCAGTCGTGTCGGCGCTCAGTGAGAACCTCAGGTACCGTGGTGGGTCAAGGACGGCCCCGACCGCGGCCGAGCAGCTCCTCCTACCACTCATCACAAAGGTCGGTGACCTCCGAGTGCAGAAGACCTTCGAGTACAAAGAGGCTGCCGATGCTATGCTGAGCACTGCTATGCAAGTCTTGGGCCCAGAGGTCCTCCTGAACGCACTTCCGCTGAACCTTGAGCCCACTGACCGGTGCGTACATCCGTACCCAGCACGCTGACCTAAACTGACCGGTTTACAGCCAAGCCGGTCGTGAACCGCGTGCTTTCCTGCTCCCCCTTCTTTCACAACCCCACTCTTCGCCTTTGGGTCACTTCCTGAGCTACTTCGTTCCTCTCACAGAGCGCATGTTTGACTTGCAGCAGACTGCCGAAGGAGCGAACCGCCAGTCAGAGGCGAAGGTGTGGAGTGTCCTTGTCGAGCAAATCTGGCAGGGCTTCCCCTCATACTGTTGGGGCCCTCCGGATCTGCAGAAGGTAACGCCTATGCAGCCGCTGTGATCGGTTGACTTACTTAGGCTGTCTTCAATCAGGCTATGACCCCCGAGTTCGCCCAGCTGCTTTCGCAGCTCCTCTACGGCCAATCAGAGCTTCGGCCCGCTGTCCTCCGGGCTCTTAGGATGTTAGTGGAGTCCAACATCGCAATCGCTGCAGGGGAGCTCGATAAGCTCCCCGAGTCCGTGCGCGCCGACGTGATATCGACTGAGGACGCTGAAAACAACGTCAAGTTCCTGCGTGGGCAGGCAGAGAGCTGGCTTGCCGTGCTCTTCAACGTCTTCAGCAGCGTCGGGCGGGATTCGCAAGGTATGGTCGGGGACGTTATCAGTGTGTGGGCAGGCATCGCCAGCGAGCAGGTAAGTCATCCGGGAAAGCGTGCAGTTCACGGCTCATCCGTGAGTTGCAGGACATCGCGAAAGCGTACGCCAAGCTGGTGGGCCTGTTCAAGCAGAACCTCGTGAAGTCCGCCAAAGCTTGGGGCGCGAAAGACGTGGAGAACATCACCGCCGTGACGCAGGACCTCCTGATACTTGTGCTGCCGCACCTATCCTCGGTGGATGCAACAGCACTCTTCGAGCTCTGCCTCCAGAGTGAGGTGCTCGAGAGCAAGGATAACGGCGTGCAGAAGCGCGGTTACAAGATCCTTGCGAAGCTCGTAGAGGGGAAAAAGGCGACCGTGACCGCTGAGACTGTAATCCAGCGACTTGACAGTGTTGCTGATGGTCTGGCTGCAGCTGCTAAGAAGGTTGGTTGTTACACCCATATCCAATGCAAGATCGGTATTGACTAAACGTACGTAGGATCGATTTAACCTACTGACCAGACTTGTCCCTCCCATTCCGTCTACACAGCTACACCTCCTGATGTCAATCATCCCAGAAGCTGTCCTTGGAACCAAGGAGCCGTCGGAGAAGGCCCGCAATGCCGCATTCGACTTGATTGTCGCCATGGGCAACAAGATGAGCGAGGGCGGTGTGGTCAAGCGTAGTGCCGTTGATGGAATGGACCAGGACGATGCTCCCGAAGGTACTGCTCATATACAACTTTCAAAGAGTGTCCGACTGATATGCTCTTCAGCTGTGGGCAGCCTGGAAGAGTACATGACCATGATAGCAGGTGGTCTGGCCGGGGCAACACCCCACATGATCAGTGCGACCGTTACAGCCATATCTCGCCTTGTCTTCGAGTTCCAGGGTAAGTCATACGTTATACGCTGCATCCGTCAACGCATCTGACGCCAACCTAGATGCGCTATCCGCTCAGATGCTGGGCGAGATCTTTACCACACTCTTAGTGTTCGTCACCTCTGCTAACCGCGAGATCGTCAAATCCGTACTCGGCTTCATCAAGCTGGCGATCCACACCATGCCCACTGACCTCCTGCGCCCGCACCTCAAGGACCTTGTCCCTGCCCTCCTCCGCTGGTCGCACGACCACAAAAACCACTTCAAGGCGAAGGTGCGCCACATCTTCGAGCGCATGATCCGCCGCTTCGGGTGGGAAGATGTCTACGCATGCGCGGGCGAGGAGGAGGCACGCAAGGTGCTGGTGAACATCAAGAAGAGGAAGGACAGGGCGAAGAGGAAGAAGGCGATGAACGCGGAGAACGACGACGGTGACGAAGTGCGATCGATCGCTCGTCCTAGTTAGCTGTTCAGTACGCTGACATTTTCTCATCTAGGAACCTGCTGCTAGGCCCTCCGGGGGCGATGCGTTCGAGGACGTGCTGTACGGGAGCGAGAGCGAGCTTGATGGCAGTGATGACGAAGCCCCTACCGATCGCAACGCCCGGCCAGGCAAACCGAAGAACAACAGCGGGGGTGCACGGATCCGGATGGACGATGATGAGCCAATGGATCTGTTGCACGGTGCTGCAGCGCGCCTCACGAGTATGTCCTGGTGCTTTGTATCAGCAAACCAGTGTTGACATGCGACGACGCAGATGCCAAAGGTAGCAAGCGACGCAAGCCTGGTCAAGATGCAGCCCATTTCAAGACTGATGATGACACGGGCAAGATGGTCATCGACGACGAAGACGAGGGCGAGGCAGACGGCGGGGCAGCAGATGACCTGTACAAGGAGAGCCTTACGTCCACGGATGGCTTCACTCGAGGTCCGAACGGGCGCGTTAAGTTCAACAAAGATACGAAGAAGCGGCGTCGGGACAATGCAGATAACGACGAAGACATTCAGATGGGCGATGCAGATGCGCCCGGCGGAAAGAAGAGCAAGCGGAGAACGGACGTCAAGCTGGGACATGAGTTCAAAGCAAAGGTGCGACCATGCGACGTTTGTATGATATCGATTTTACTGACATAAGGTACAGAAAGCGGGGGGCGATATCAAGAAGGGTGGTGTGGACCCGTATGCCTACTTGCCGTTGTCGCAGGTAGCTAAAAAGCAGGGACGCAAGGGTGTCGCTGGGAAACGATAATCTAGTTGTGTTTGTATCCATACGCGTATTTCACGCATTTCACGCATTTCGTCTCAATGGGATCCCATCGCCATGAGGAGCAGAGTTCAGCTTCAGACGAACATAATCCTGAGCCTACGATAGTAGAGAAAGGAGGCAGAAGTAGCTACATTGGGGAAAAGAAGCGACGCAAAAAGAATGTTCCCAGGGGGAGTCGAGCCCCCGTCTCCACGGTTTTGGGCAACCAAAGGCTGCACCCACAACGTGATGATCTGACCACTAATCGATGGGAACCGATGAAGAGGTGCGCTGCAATGCGTACATATTGCGCGTGTGCTGATTGGGCGTGCGGGGCTCAGTATGACATGACGCGGATGATCTGGCCCGGGCTTGCGGCAAGACCTCCAGGCGAGGCGGTCAGTTCTCTTCGTCCCAAACACCCACTATGCGCAAGACCTCCTACGTTATCGCATTCTTCGCCGTCCTCACCACAGTTATTCTGGTGAGCTCCCCGCGCCAACACGTCCCACACAATGCTGATCATCCCCAGAATGGGTACTCTATCACTCGGCCAGACTGGTTCGCCCGCTGTCCCACAGTCGGCTTGCGCGTCCGCTGATGTGTTGGATGCTCAAGGCTCGTTGTGAACAACCCCGAAGTTCTCCACTCGAAGGTCACCGTGCAGTATGGCCTCGACAAGCGGTGCGACAGGCAGGTAGTCACCATCCCCGGCCTCCCTGAGGGCAGCCGGCTCGCCTACACCGACTACAAGTGCCGGCCCTTCCCCAACCGCGTCGTCGACAACTGCGAGAAGGAAAACAAGACGTTCTGCATGGTCTGGAGCACCGCGCACTACTTCGCCGAGCTGGGCATTGGGTTCGGCGTCGTTGCTTGCCTGGCCGTGCTGTTCGGCGTCAGCACCCACTCGCGGCGGCGGCGCATCTGGAAGATGGTTGCCTGGCTCGCGGCATTCCAAGGTGCGCTCATACATCACGAGAAAGAGACAATTTCTGATGCGCGGAAATAGTTGGCTTCACTATTTTAACTTTCTCAGTCATAACCCACCTCTACCGCCTATCCATGTACCCTTCGTTCGAGCGGGCCCGCCCTGGTATGTGCCTATCAGTAGAGATGTTGGCAGAGCACAGACGCGTGTATACCGGCATGCTGCGAAGGGTGCACATAGACGGACGTGTGAGGCCTATGTGGCAACTAACGCATGGAGAACGTCTTCAGGCACTCTCAGCGACGCGTCTCGCTACCTTTCGCCATGTGCAGCGCCTACGCATACATACATTGCCAACATCTATACATCATCATGCGGGTCTCCATACAACATACTCACATGTATTGCAGGCACCGCATATGTTCTCAACACCCTCTCTTGGGTGTTCGGCATCCTCGCAACGGCAGGTATCATCACCACCGGTATCTCTGCCAACAAGGGCCACCGCTGGGCCGCAGGCAGGCGGGCCTACCGCCCCATTGAAGGTTGACCATGGCATGATCAGCTTGTCCTTTCCATCACCTCTCCTGAAGTTACTTACGTTTGGATGGGCCCCACTTAACATACCAGTCTCCCACTTACCCTGGCCTCACCACAAGTCAATTTGCTGTGCCATATGCTCTCCCCGTGTCCTCCGTATTCACATTAGCATTGAAATTAGGAATGAAATAGTTTTAGATGGATAGATGGTCCATGCATTAAACAGCGTCAGTATTCGTCCTCTGGGTAGTCCACCTGGTCATACAACCGCAGTGTCTCGTTCCAATCGCGCTTTCTCCTTCTCCGCACCGAGAAGTATTTTGCCTTGCTCGCCCACCGTCCGCGCACCCTGCCCTTCTCCTTGCCACCCGTCCGCTCGAAGTACGTCTCTGGGTCCGGCGGGAGGCCGAGTGTGTGCACCGCGAGCTCCATGACGCGCGTATGCAGACGCTCGCGCATCGCGTGCAGCGCAGCGATGCGCTGCGGGCCCATGCGGAGTAACGTCGTGAGCACGGCGAATGCGCGGCACGCGGCCACAGCGTCCTCGAGCCAGCGCAGCGAGATCCACATCGCGACGGGCACGAGCGGCGCGGTGAGCGGTGCGATGGGGAGCGTGAGCAGCGTCGCACCGCCCCAGACACAGAGCCCGGACATGAGCCCGTAGATGAGCTTGTACTGTGCGATCTCGTCCCAGGTGTCCCAGATCGGGCCGGTCCGTTTGAAGCGCGACACGGCAACGAAGGTCGTGAGGAAGACGGGGAGCCAGAGCAGCAGGCCGGGGAGGGATATCGTGAAGAGAAAGGCGGCCCAGGCGAGGCGCACACAGATGCGGTAGAGGATGATGTGTGTGGGCAGCGGTCGTCGAATGCGATCATCCTTGATGCCGTGTTGGACTAACTGATCTTGATACGCCTATGGCCAATGACGTCAGGGGACGCATACAACGGGAAAGTGAGCAATACCTTGAGATCGTCTCCCAGCTGCCGTATCTTCTCGTCCTCCCGCTGGGCGCCCTCCGCGTTCCCGTGTTCCTTGATTACGACCTCACATTCACTCCCGCTCTGGTTCTCAGATATAGGCCGCTCCGCGAGTTTGAACGCCTCTTGGAATGTGCGCACCACGCGCACGTAGTCTCCAAGGCTCATCGTCGTCCCCAAGGGCGCATACATGCACGCCGCGAGCTTCGCGTTCCGGATCATCCGCCATGAGGGGGCGTCCAAGGTGCCGAGGCTGATCTGCTGGTGCATGCTTGCTGTGAGCGCGCGGACTTCATTGTAGTTCACTGGAGCAAGCAGCTCTGGGTTGTCCTGCAACACTCGGTCAATGTACGAAGCATGGTACACACTTATAGCACGTACCTTTGGGGTAAATCTCAGCGGTTCGTGGAATGTCACCAGAACATCGGAACGGAAGTGCTGCCGGTGCCTGTGAATGCATGACGTCACTGTTGTGTAGGTAATTCTGAGTGTAGCTCACATGTAGGTGATTGAGCAGGTTTGAACGAAGACCTCGAAGTCGGGCTTGTCTCGGTTGCGCGAGAGGACATCGGAAACAAGTCGAGCAACTAGCGGGATATGTCATGCGTTGTTCGTGACTTGTATAGCAATTCACGAACCTCCAGTCTTCAGTGGAGCGATAGTGGGGTGGTACCTGCTCATTCCTTCTGGAAATAGGCACACCGCATCACCGCATTCCAAGGCCTGTAGAGCGGCACATATGAGTCCCTACTACGCTGATGCGAGGACGATTACTCACTTCGATGAGGTGTTGCATGACCGCAGAGTTGTCGGCGTCGCCATTCGGAAAGTCCTGTCGCCGCTTGAGAGGCACGGTGCCCGCAGACTCGATCAGCCAGCTGGTGAACGTCTTCCTGCCAAACTGTGTCGACTTGGCTGTCAGCCGCAGGAGATTGCGTCTCTGTCATTGATCAGGTGACTGTCCCGGACTTGATGCGAGGTACACACCTTGGACGGGATTGCCGTGACGAGGAGGCTGGCTCGGGGAGTAGGTAAGCAGCGGGTAGTGTTCTGACTAGGCTACTCACAGCGCGTCCGTTAACGAGTTGCTGTGGTTCGCACACACGATGCTGCGCAATTGTCAATCCCCTGCATCCTTTAGAGCGCATACAACCACGTACCAAGGCTTGCCTCTGGGCGGTATAACGTGTGCATTTTCGACGACTATAGTGCCGTAGAAGATCTTGAGCACGAACTTGAAGAGTAGTCTGCACCCCCTTAGTATGGCCGAAACCGAGAACACAAACACTGACCTGATGAAGAAGTATGACCAAGGAGTGGGCGTTCCGTTGGGCATGCCAGTCAAACAGTGTGCGTCGGTCAGACAGTGATTATGTAGAATAGATTCAGCATGCGAGGAGTACGAGCGTGAGGGGAGTTCTGGAGAAAAGGCGTGGATGTTGCAGGCGGTGGTCGTGTGGTGTGCTCAATGGAGTGGCACACAGCTATGACTCATTGAATGACCAATGCGGCCTCAGCCCGCCCCCGCGCGCCATGTCGGGTGTCGCACTGTCGCACGTGCCAACATTATCCCCAGTTCGCCGCATTGTTCGCCGCATTACGCCACTGCCAAATAGGCCCATGAATTCAGCGCAGAACTATGTCGAGCGACGGCCAGTACATCGGACGTCGTGGACTCAGCATTTAGAGATTGCGTCTCGCCGTGCAAATAGAGTTTTGATACTACGAACTCATATGCCCGGCACAAAGCGGGGACCTGCCTGTGGAGCAAAGTATGAGTCGCGAGCGCAGACTGTGATGAGAGAAGCGTTGCCCGCCTATCTATACACCACAGTACGCCGATTGCTCTCCCTCGAGGGAGAACGAGAACGAGATTATTCAATAGACTACGCTAGTTACAGCTCAGGTCACTCATCGCCAGTATGCACTAGAAATCATGTGTCCTACTGTAGTGCCAAGACCATCAATCTTGCATGCGGATCGTGTACGTTTATTTAGTTTCAGAATTTCAAGCATTCGTCCTCGAGTTCTCATTCTCTGTCACCACATTGCCTACGAGTACAAGCATCGCCATTAAGACTATCGTCTGAGGAGCCCGCTCGTAGTCAAATATATGCCATCAAACCAGAACGCGTGGGCACCGGACTGGGAATGCATTAATCGTCCTTTTCCTCCTCGTCATCAGAGCGGACGTCATCCAATTTTGACTTATCTTCCAGCATAGTTGCCCTGTTGACATAGATATGAGGCGAGGAATATAAGAGTCTAGAAAGGGAACACGTACCGGTAGGCGACCCGCAAAATGAGGAAGTACCAGAAGATGTTGAGGAATTGTAGGAGAAGTAACGGTGTGAAGATTTGATATTTCATCCACCACACCAACCAGACCCCGTCTTCGGGCGACCAACGTTTCGAGGTCTCTCTGAATCGGACACAATCAGTCAACACCAGATGTGTTACCGAGGTAAATGGGAAACATACGGCATCAAATCGAACTCTGCCAACACTGAGTACAAGATGACGAAATTGAGCCAATGTCGGAAGTACGACCAGGTGAAAAACAATATTATGAATGTGAATATCTTCGCGCGGGTCCATTGGATATAATTCATAATCTTGGAGAGCTGAGAAAATTCATTCAGACGGTAGATACGCAACCAGTGAGTTGCTCTGCATACCGAGAGGAACAAGTCCGGCACGTCCATGCTGACGTAGACAGCAACTCCAATGTAAGTTAGGTTGGTCAGGTAGCTCCATCTAGACGATTGAAAGTCAGGGTAGGAACAAATGCCTGGAGAACAGGATCAGACATACCCAACAAGCCACAACGT